TACATGATGGAAAAATCATGTATCTCCTTAAATACATTTAAAAGTAATACTGCATCTCTGGAATAATGCATGGCTACAGGTTTAATCGGTGCCACCACAGAGTAGGCCACACAGACATCTATAATTACTACCTTGCTTTCTGTAGTGTGCTCTTCAGCCATATGCCAATAAAACGGCTTTTTTATCTTCAGAAAAGTCCATATTTGGCTTTCAAAATGCACATGCACACACACATACACGCAAAATGATGGAGCCAATCAAAAACGGTCTACCTCGGGAGTACTGTGCTTCATAGGGAAGAGAAGTATAATATTTAGAAATTCTGGATTGATGGTAATTATTACAATGGGTATAAACATGAGTCATATCCTCTACTCTTGGGATGACCAGAACATTTGCAAATTTAGACAAGAGTTTATGATGCCAGGGGATCAAAGACCCCCTGTGCAGTTAAAAGCCTATTATTTTCATATCTCATATGATAGGTGAGATAGAGTCATGAGACCTATCTCTGTATAGTGTCATTGATTACCTGGGTTTTCTTGGTCAAGTTACTATACCTGTCTGTATTTAGACTGTGGGATCACTAAAAGCCTACAACTCAATTCCAGTAGTAGAATGATTAGGCAAATGGTTAGGAGCAAAGTTAAGCTTTAGGACTTCTTATCAGCCCTCCACTGTCTCTACCATGAACCTAAGTACCTTTCCTCTCCTGGGTGCTAACTGAGGAAAGTAAGAATGGTGACATAGTCAAAAACAGGAAAGGTGCCAGGTATATCATTACCAGGGGAATTTCCATGTGTGCTCACACAAATATGCTGTTATGCTGACTGTCCTGCCTGGGTAATTGTGAATGCACAGTACAGACCTGGACACCTCAAGGTATTTCAGGACTCAGGAATTGAGGAAGATATAAAGATATTAAATGGGACAGTAGGCTTTGCTTGTAAGTAAACAACTGAGACTGAGTAAGGCTGAGGATGGCAAGAGGCACAAGAGTCAAAACTTATTAATACACATTTAGAAAACCCCTTTAAGTGAGTTATTAAGTAATCGGCCACCAATAAGCCCCAGGAAAGTTACTGAAGTATTTGGTGTTTAGGACAGAGACTACAAAAAACTACACAGATAAATTCCTGAAAACATTGCTTCTTGAAATTTAGAAGAAACTTAGATACTGATAGACAAATTACTGTATCTATCTAACTGATATCTAACTGAAAGATACTTTGAAGATAAAGAGTCAGAAGTCATATTTCAGATTCTTGCAAAGGAAGGGTTATAGGAGAGTTATGAAAGAAGACGAGCCCACTAGGTATGGTAATGGCAATGTGCAAGATAGAGCAAAGAAAACAGGATCCATATCCTAATTTAGGAGGGCAATCAAAAAAATGAAAAGTGAATCTAACTACAGTTTTATAATTTATGTTCTCCAAGCGTGCATTTTATGGTTTGGTAAATAATATTTACATGAACTTCAGAGCAGATTGTTCCTGACTCTTTAGCTCAAAGGAGTGTTACTCAGATTTTTATTAAAAAAATTCTGGTTTTAAAAAGTGCAGGATGGCAGAATAGGTGACCCCTCAAAAATGCCACTCTGGTATAAGCATTATTTTGAACTAAAGGCAGTTGAAAAACAGTAGGTAGAAGAAGGGTGCTCTAATTTCCCCCCTTTTCTTCCTGAGAGCAACAGAAAAAAGTCCCATGTGAAAGATATCCTTCCTATGCCAGAAGGAAAGAAATATTCGTATCGCCAGAGATGGCGAGTCAAAGCCTCGAGAATCCTGTACACACAGACCTTGGCAAAATAAGTCTCTTCCTTTGGGCTCCCCATATATGTGAGTTAATTCTCCACAACTGCCTCTCTTTGTTCAACCTGGTATAAAAGCATTTCGGTTGTGCCACTTCTTTGGGTCTTCAAGACTGCCACATCACACACAGAACTTTTATTCCATGCATTTCTCCTCTTAATCTGTTTATACCAATTTAATTCTCAAGCCCATCTGAAAACTCTAAGAGGGCAGAGATACAATTTTGCCTTCCCTGCCAAGGCAAATCACTTCAGTGAATACATGAAAACTAAATTATATTTTATCTGAATGAACAAATATGTTTTAAAAAAAGATTTAACCTAGACTAGCCATTCAACCTGCCTGGAAAATTCTGTAATTGGTAATAAGCTTATAATAAGTAGTAAGCCCAGTATTACTTCATCTACAATACATACTGAAAAGGAAGATCAAAGAAAGACATCTCTTGCAACATCTTAATTTATGCATGTATTAAACTCTCTTTAAAATCTTACTGAAGACTTCAATGGCTTAGTATATTTTAGTTGTGTGTTGAGCAGCAGTCTAAAAGCAGGCATGAAGAGACAGCAATTGCCTAACACAAAACATTCTATTAAACTGAATCTGTATTTTAAAGCTACGTTCATTTGATGCAGTAAGAAAGGATTCACAAGGCCTGTATCCAAGAGTCACTATGGTTCTCAATTTGAAGAGCTTAGCTTAAACTGCTCGACCCCATTTATAGAAAACACTTGGACAACTCCTGCCTGTCACACCAGCCAAAGCTTTCAAGTATAGATGCAACATAATTTATTACCTTTCTTTCCCCCTTTCCCATCTCTAAAGCAACAACAAAAAAAAAACAACCAGTCATAACACCACACCTTATGTGAGTCATGTCAAGTGGCTAGCTCTGCCTACTGTTTTGCAATCAAGGAATAGTTCTATCCTTTGAGAATTAAATGAGACAACTTTGTTACTGCATAAGGCAAATATGTTTAGCCACAAGGGAACTTTTTCGAGAGGCCTTTGGTTGCCCTTATTATATCCTCACTACTTAATTCAAATGGTATGAGGCTGGGATTCACTAGCAGCTCAAATAGCTCCCAAACCTTAAGTTAAAGCCGTTATTTTTCTCAGTGTCCTTATGTGCTAAGACTCCATCTCTGAAAATCTCATTTATAAGATGAGCCTATTAACCTCCCATTACCCCATGCATTGATCTCTTATCTCATTTACTGATGGTGGGTACTTGCTGAGTGGCATCTAACATCCAGAACTCCCTGTTAGACACCTTAGAGTTCTATTTTCTTCATTGCAAAGCTCAAGCTTTGTACTTAGGCAAAAGTGCTAAGATAATCCATCTAGGCCAATGTGTACCAAAGTCTATTAAAGACTGACCAGGTCCCTTTCCTGGGGATATAGGTCTGTTTAAGAAGTATAAAAAAAGAAGAGGCCATACCCAGGAAAAAAAGGCTTACTCATTTTTTTGCATGCCAGGTCTCCAAATATAAGCATATTTCCTTCACTTAAAAACACAATTGTGCCATAAAAATCCTTTACTCATCTACAGTGGGACCAATTGTAATTTAAAAGCTAAATAACACACTGTTTTACAGGAAGAATAAGGCAAAGTCAACAACCCTTCTAGGCGGGGGTTTAAAATCATCTTCATAAAATCCACAGCTCCACTGAAGAGCCCAGGAGAGTGACTATCGCGAAGCAGGGCAACCTTTAGAATCCATGACTTGGACAAGAAGCAATATTACTACTGTTCATAGGCGTTCTGTGAAACAGCAGGAAGTGTTTCGAAAGAAGCCTCAAAAGACGACTTTTCAAACGAACTTTTGGTTTTCTGTAACCAAAAGGAAAAAAAAAAAAGCTGAGCCCAAAGCTGATTATTCCTCTTTCTCTGAGAGAGTGATATACATAAATTCATTCTTGTATCTGAGGTAGAGAAGTCTGTTCTTAAATAAATGCCACTAGTTATAATTCTTCAATACTTTCTCATATGCAATAAGCTGTTTATGAAAAGAGCACTACCTCACAAACAGACCTGTGTTCCCCCCGCCTCCCACCACTCTGCTACCAGATGGGTGACCGTTCCTTTTATGCAGCATGGCCATGTTTTATACTTCAGTTTATGCATCTGTAGGATGGACAGTCTCTTCAACCCTGAACATGCTCCCAAACAAATATCATCTATTGCAGACTGAGCTTCTTAAACACTGATAATGACTGAACAGGATCACTTTTTGTACCACTTCCATGTTCCATATTCCACTTTCATATTTAAACGTTACAAAAGTTAACATCTTTTTAAATGCCCACATTCCACCTACCACATCAATGAGAGTAGAAGTTTTCAGATCAGAACAAGGAAATACATATCCCCTCAAAGAAGAGTATTGTGCCCCAAAATGGTAACTGAAAGCAAATGCCAGGGCAACAATTTCTGGCGTGGGGGCGGAGGGATGTTGGTGCAGAAAAGGGGTCAGGAATAGGGCTAGGTGTTGGTTTAGGGAGAAAGAAGCCTAAGGCTTCAAGAGACCTTTTGTAATCCTCACCTGGGCAGCCTGTCCCAGGAATGAAAGCGTGTTTTAGGAAGAATGTTTTCCTTTAAAAAGGGTCTCAGATCCAAAGTGGATGATGAAAAACGTTCTGAAAATGAACCCGGTTTCTAGTCTAAGTTGTATCACTAACTAGGAGTGTCACCTTGGTAACTCATTCAACCACTCTGAACTAAAAGTTCTCATCCGTGAAGTGTTAAAGCCTGCCCTCTCCCCCTAACTCCTCCTGGGGTTAAAACTTCTTGAAAAGCCCCAAAGCTTTCTCACCTCTGCTCAGGTGAGAGAGGATGTTGGAGAAGGCCTTTTCATCTCTGGAAAATAAGAAGGCTTTCCCCTACTTCGCTGAGGCATCTAACCAGGGTTTTTTATTTATGCATTTATTTGCCATGTCCTACTTTTAAATTATTCAACTACTACCGCCCGTTCCACTGCTGTCCGCCTGACACGTCCCTTTCCATCTCCCTCTGCGACTGAGTCTCTCCCCAGGTGCACGGGCAGGTGAGTTCGGGCTGAGGACGCAGGAAGGGGACCCGGGGAGGGCGAGCGGCCCCGCTCCCAAAGGCAGGGAACCCCGGGACCGCCCCTCCCCGGAATTCGCCGCCCGCGGGCCCGCGTGTCCGCGGCTCGGCCACCCGCTTACCCGCGATGTCCCACAGCTGCAGGCGCACCATCGTCTTGCTGTCCCAGCTGAGGACCTTGAGGGCGAAGTCCACCCCGATGGTGGCGCGGTAGTGCTGGGAGAAGAGCTGGTGGACGTAGCGCTTGATGATGCTGGTCTTGCCCACGCCGAGCTCGCCGATGACCAGCACCTTGAAGAGGTACTCGCGCGTCTCGGGCACCGCGGCGGCCTCCGCCCCCCGGCCCGCGGCCCCGGGGCCCCCGCCCGCCATGGGCGCCCTGTCGGCAAGCTGCGGCCCCCGCGGACCGTCGGGCCTCCCCGGGGCCGACCCGCCCTCCGCGCGGCGCCCGCCACCCCGCCCGGCCGTCACGGGACCCGGAACCGGCCAGCGCCGAGGCCCGCGCGGGGCGGGGAAAGCGCCGGGGCTGGCCCGGCGCGGGCGCACCCGACGGGGAGCCGCTTCCCACCGCCGCCCGCGCTCCGGCGGCCGCGGCGCTTCCTCTGCGGCCGTGCCCTCCTCGCCGGGCGGCGCGCGCGCCCGCCGCCCCCTGGCGGCCGCTGGGAGCAGCGGAAGCCCTGCGGTTCCGGATCAGCCTGCGAGGTGTTCAGGCCTCGCAGCCCGCTCGGGGTGGGGGGCCCGGAGCCGGGGTCCAGGAGCCGCCCCGGCCTGGAAGAGCAGGCCGCGGAGTCAGCCTTCCCCCCTGCTCTGCCCTGGGAGGCTTAACCCGTGCAGGTCAAAGCCTTGACCTCTAGGCCCACTGCAGGGGCGAGCTGCAGAAAGTCTCTGGGCTTGACAGAGGACCAAGAACGCTTAGTATTTAAATAAAGGAGTGAGGATCTCTAAAACGATCTTTTTTTACTTCCTTAAACACAAAAACCTTATTAAGCTTCAGCTGGTAGAGGCTCTGAGATAAATCCTAGGAACTGACTGAAAAGTGATTAGTATGGTAGTTCTGGGGGCTTTCATTTCAAAGAGCAAAGATAGGAAGCCTTCCCTTGCTTGCTGGGTTTATAAAATCGAGGGATGCCTCTCCCCATAATGTTTAGAGACATCTGGAGCTGATAACCTCTGGTAGCGCCAGGAATAGCGGCTGCTTTACCTTGTTATCCTCACTCCAACTGACAAATCATTGAGAAACGTTTTTCAGACATGGAGGTGTTTTAAAATTTAGAAGTCAAGGTGGGAGTAAAACCTTTACTTGGATATAGTAATAGCTATTGAAAAATCATGGATATGTCTTTAAAGTTTGGTGGCCAGCCAGCGTCTTTTATGTTCACCCTACTTGAGAGTCCCTTTCATTATGTCTCCAGCTTGGGGAAAGATTATTGCCGTAAGTGCAGCATATGTTCTGTATATGCATGTTCGCTTAGGTATTATGGGTTCCTTCTTTAACTCTCCAGCTTTGCACTGACATTAGAAATAGAAATATGCAGTAAATGATTCTAAACTAAAAAAGGTCATAGCCAAAGAAGGCATGATAATAGCTTGGATCCAGTGGTTCTCCAACTTGAGTGTTAAGGGTTTGTAAAACATTACCAGGTCTTCCCCCAGAGGGGTTCTGATTCACTAGATCTGGGGTGGAGCCAGATAATGCTTTTCAAACTAGTTCCCAGGGCTGCTGATGCCACAGGTCTAGGAGCTCAGTGCTTGCTTCTCAAATTTAAAAGTTCATATGAATCATCTAGGATCGTGGAGAATATTCTGATTACATATATGTGGGATTGGCTTGAGATACTGAATTTCAAATAAGTTCCCATGTTATGGAATGCTGTTAGTGGACATTTTGGTCAGCAAAAGTTCATATTAGAATTTTGTAGTTGCCACATTTACTTTGTATCTGACTCACCTGATGTTATAGACTGAAAGTGCCTAAAAATTTATATGTTGAAATCCTAACCCCCCAGTGTGATAGTATTAGGAGGTGGGCTTTCCAGAGGTGATTAGGTCATAAAAGTGGAGCTCTTGTAAATGGGATTAATACCCTTAAAAAAGAGACTTGAGAAAGAAAGTCTCCTTGCCGTCTCTACCATGTGAGGACACAGCAAGAAGACAGTGGTCTAGGAACCAGGAAGTGAGTCTCACCACTGAATGCTGATGCTTGATCTTAAACTTGTCAGTCTCTAGAACTATGAGAATTAAATGTTGTTTAAGCCACTCAGTCTATTGTAATTTGTTATATCAATCTGATCTGACTAAGCCACCTGGAGAGCTAGTTATCTAACTTATCCATACCTTCTGTTTTAATCTTTTAGAAGGAGGGCCCAGGAAATTGTATTTTAAAAACAAAACAAATATAAAACCAGGTGAGTACACACTTAAAGAACCACTGAATCAAATGTTATCAAGTAATGTAAGTACTGAACAATGTCTGCTTGTGCAGCCTGAAATTGGAAAAGGTGGAGAGTTTGGTAGGGAGAATAGATAAGTATTAGAATCCTGGGCTGATATTTCAGTAGGGAAACAAGTTTTTATTCACATATAAAATGAAGAGAAAATACTGAGACTTATGACTGAATAAATAGGATTCTGGGTTTTCAACATTTCCATTTACTACATATAGAAATGGACAGCTTAGAAAGCATGGGGTAAATCACGGAATTTCAAGAATCTCAAGTGAGGCCTTAGTCCATTTTACCACTGCAGCAACCACAGACTCTGGGGCAAGGGGTAGAGAGAGGACTGCTGTTCTCTCCTTCCTTCCATTCCTGGTGCATAATTGGTCTGGTGCCTGCCTACACAGTAGCTGGGGACTGCCCTACAGGGATGCCCCCAGAAGGAGCAGGTGGGAAAGTGAGAGCATGTTGTGGCTGCAGAGACACAGAGCACCAGGGACCTGGGGGAAGCTGAGAGTGTGCTGAAAGGGCAAAGTGTGAATGGCAGCTGGTGGAGATGGCTGGGTCCAGGCCTACCTAGCTACTGAGAACAAACTGTGAGCAATAAATACGGTTTCTCCCAACCCATCCTTTCCTGTGACTTATTTCAGTTTCACCACTTTCGTAGGTGATTTATCCCAGGCCAGGAACACCCATCCCCCTGTAGCTACAGAAAGTCACCTGCAATGCTCACTACCACATTTATCACACTTTCTTGCTATGCTCTCCATCTGGAATGTGTTCCAAACCATTATCCTACCCAGGCTTTCCAAGTAAACTCTTTGTCATTCAAGTGCTTGATCAAGGGATTATCTGCTCTTTTCACTGAGAACTTCCCTGGCAGATTTACACATTCATTTATTAATTAAAATTAATTACACTTGTACCAGGAAATGGTCTTGAAACCCCAAGTACAATGGTGAGCAGAATACACAAAATTCTTTCTCTCAAGGGACTTTATATTGTACTAGGAGCAGGATACATAATTAAAAAGCAATCAGTAAGTGAAGTAATTTCAGATAATTATAGATTTTATGAAGAAAATAAAATTGGAAAATGCCATTTGTAGTGAGTGATCACTAAATGAAGAATAAAAACTATACTAATCAGCAGGCCAATCCAAAAGGAAATATTGAAAGGTGTCCAGTTTTGTTTCCCATATGAATTAAAGATTGATCTTGGATGATTCATTGGAAAAACCGTCCTTTCCTATTCCTTTGCAGTGCCACTAAGCCTTAATTCCAGTGCTGATATAAGAATGGATGTTTCTGCGCTCTTTCTTGTCTTCCATCAGTCTGCATGTCTGTACTCGCACCACTTCTTACCTGCTTTAATTACTGTAGCTTTATTATGAGTCTTATTTTCTGGCAAATCAAATCCTTTCCTTCTGTAATTCTTTTTCAAGGTCATTGTAGCCATTCTTGTTCCTTTTCATTTCCATATAAATCTTAAAATCAACATTTCAGTTTTCACAAATGTATCTTCTGGGACTTTTGTTAGAATTCATAGATCAACTTGAGGAAACCTGAAAACTCCGAGTCTTCAAAAAATACTGACAAGGTATACTTATCATTTATGTAGGTCTTAACATCTTTCAATAATATGAAGATATCTTGAATTGCTTGTAGTTGGTATATAAGAATAAAAATAAAGTTTATTTGTATAGAATGAATTTAGATTCAATGACCCTGATAAATCTAAAAGTTTATTTATAGAATTGCGTTTTCTATGTGTAGAAACATTTTTATTATAAACTTTCTAACACTCATACATTTTATACCTTCTTCATATTTTATTTCACTGGCTAGGACTTCCAGTATATTTTTGAATAAAAAAAAGGACATAGTAGGCAACCCAGTTTTTGAGAGAAAATTTTCAACTTATCCCCATTAATTTATTTTAATGAGCTTTTCATTTTGGAATAGTAATAGGTATATAGAAAAGTTCAAAGATAGTGTAGAGAGTTCCTATTTACTTCATATCTAATTTCCCTATTGCTAATATCTTAAATTAATTTGGTATATGTGTCAGAACTAATGAACCCATATTGGTACAATTAACTCCAAGTCCATACTTTATCCAGGTGTCCCTATTGATCTAATGCCTTTTCCTGTTGCAGGTTTCCCATCCAGGACACCACATTCCATTTAATGAGCATGTGTCCTTAGGCTCTCTGGCTGTGACAGTTTCTCAGACTTCCCATGTTTCCGATGGCCTAAACAGGTTTTAGGAGTGACAATTAGGTGTTTTGTAGAATGTGACTTAATTGAGATTGTCTGATGTGTTCTTCATGATTAAAGTAGAGTTATGAGTTTGGGGAAGACCACAGAGGTCAAGTGCTACTCTCATTAAGTCATGTCAAGGGTGATATTAACATGACTCCCCACTCTTGATGCTAATCTTGATCACTTGGCTGAGGTAATGTTCGTCACATTTCCCCACGTAAACTTATTCACTTATTGCACCCTCCTTTTCTTCCCATATATCCATCACATTCCCAGAACTTAATTATCTTACAAATGGAAGTTTGTACCTTGTGCCCACCTTCACCCAATTCCCCCACCCCCTACACTATTCTCTATATCTATGAATTCAGTTTTTTTAATTCCATATATGAGTGAGATCATGTAATATTTGTCTTCCTCTGACTTATTTCATTGAACATAATGCCCTCATGGTCCATTCATGCTGTTGCAAATGGAGGAGTTTCTTTCTTTTTATGGCTGAATAATATTCCATTGTGTATATGTACCACATCTTCTTTATCCATTCATCCACTGATGGACCATTAGGTTGCTTCCATATCTTGGCTACTGTGAATAAGACTGCAGTAAACATGGAGGTGCAGATATCCCTTTTATATTCTGTTTTCATTTCCTTGGGAAATATATCTAGAAGTAAAATTGCTGGTTCATGTTATAGGGAGCACTGTTATAGAACATGACATCAAGGATATCTTTATGATTTTAGGATAAGTTAAGATTCTTTGAAATAGTCACAAAAACCTTTAGTTATAAAGGAAAATCTACTGTTGAATGACATAACACTTAAAAATAATCCCTTATAAATGCTTGTAAAAGAGTAAAAGATAGGATGACAGAGTAGGGAAATATATTTGCTACACGATAAAAACAGTTCAAATTTGAAGTACATAAATAATTTATAAAATTTAATAAGAAAGTACATTTGACAAAAAAGTGGACTTGAGAAGAAACTTCACAAAAGAGGATCCAAATAGCCAACAAACCTGTGCAAATTCAATCAGCCTCATTAATAATCAAGGAAATGCTAACCTAAACCACAAATCAGTATAATTTCACATCTTCTAGACTGGTTAAAATTAAAAAATGCTGAAGATATTGATTGTTGCAAAGATCTACAGTAATTACAGTTCATGTACAGTGAGAAAGTAAATTTGTACAATACTTGGGAGAACTATTTAACCACTGAAGTTGAAGATCCATATTTCTACTTATAGGTATATATTTTATGCACCAAAACATGCATCGAAAACTTTTATAGCAACATCATATGTTAATCAACAGCAGTGTAGAAAAATGAATTTTTGTGTAGTCATGCAATGAGCTATGCAGCAATAAAAATAATTGATTGTAGCTCCATTCTACAACTTGGACCAATCTCACAAACGTATTGAAGGGAAGAAACCAGACCCAATATGATTCACATAGTTGGAATCCACTTAAATAAAATGACAATAACTGAACAGTTATTTTGTTTCTTTTAAACTTTTTTGTTCTGCTTTCTAAATTTCTCTTTTTTTTTCTCTTGCTTGGAATCCTCTCCAGTGTAAATTCTCCTGAAAATAACCACGTGTTCCCTAGGCATGTGGATGGGTAGTAACCTGTTGTACAGGATTTCAGAAGGATCTTATCAAGTAATTGAACTTTAAGTGACATTAAACTCATTTTAAACTGTTCAGAGTCTATCTTAAAATTCTACCAGTGTCCTCAAGGGGATCTTTATCACCAGTTCCTGAATTTTTCTAAGTCTTCATTATGAATAATGTTTTTTCTTATAGGTGCCTCCCTCACAAGTGCCTAGATTTCTACATTCTCATCTGTGTTGTGTCAGTTACCACTCATTGTATGCTCTCCATCTTAAAAATATTTGTAGCCATTTCTCATTCCCTACTGTCTCCTTTCTCAGACTATTTGATCTTTTGGGTTTTTAAACTTTTAAGATTAATCTGCTGTCATGTTACTGGAATTTTAGGAATAAATGGAGATATAAACACATGTGTTCAATTTGCTGTGTTTACCAAAATTCAGAATGGTATTTCAAAAATTCAAATCAAATCATGTCTCACCCCTGTTTGAAAATCATCAGTGGCTCCATACAAACTCAATTTGAAACCTAAACTTTTTAACATGACACCTCATCAATCCCATTCCCACTAAAGCTATTGCTACTGTTCATTACTGAAGTTCATTCTATTCTCTGAAAATGCCATGCTCACTTTTCTCTTGGGGGCCTTTCCTCTGAATCCTCCTTCTTCTTTCTTCCTTTGCCCAGCTTCTAATAGTCTTCAGCTTTCAGCTGAAACATTACCTGCTCTTTTGACTTCCGCCAAGCTTAGGATGGATGCCCATTTTTAGATCTGCAATAGCATCCTGTGCTATGCTAGTAATGTTGGCACTGCATTATAATGTATGTACATTATAATGTACGTGTCCCATTCTGCATTCTGAAGGCTAAGCAGCGACTTGGTCTTCTTCACTGTAAGAACATCAACACTCAGTACCTATGTAGCACATACTCATTAAAAGTTTGATGAGTGAATATTGAATCAGCACTAGACTCTGTTCCAAGACCTGAGTTCACATCCTGGCTTTATCCATTGACCAACTTTGTGATCTTTGAATGGTTAAAGAGTACAGGATTTAGAGGAAGTAATGATCTCAATTTCTGGCTCTGCAATTTCTTATATGATCTCAAAAAATCACAACCTCTCTAATTTCCATTTTCTCAACTTTAAATGGAGTAAATATTGTCCTGCTTTTTGCACACAGTGATATATAGAAAATATTCATAAATATGCTGTATACTTTATATATGTAATCAGTTTTATAAAAAGCAATCAATCTTATTTTAAGAGGCTATTGAATACCTAATACCATGTTTCCTGCCAAGTTCTTTGCTGTGCATGTGTGTGTTTTCTTTGTGCCCTTTAGTTTAAATGATTCAGCCTCTCATTTTTGTTAAGTGTCTATAGTAATGTAATATGATTAAGAACAAAAGCAAAAAGTACCCCTATTATTAATGTAATTTAAAGTAATTATAAATGTATCAATTAAATTTTATAATATTTTTCCATGGGTTATATATTCCTATTTAACTTTATAATTTTAATTCCATGTTCATTTCATATAATTTTCAAAAGTTAATATAAAACAGCTTGGAGAAGTATAAATGGAATTCTAGCCAGTTTAGGCAATTTTCTTTATTGCCTTCTGTTTCAAATAATCTAATATTCATGAGATCGTGGAGCTGAATACAATTTCAAGTTTTTCTCAGTTTGTAGGAGATTGTATTTTATAGTGCAGACTCAGTGTTGAGGCCCTACAGTTATGTAGGGGCAGGGTACACTTTTAACTATTTACAGAGCTAATTGACCACATCTTTCAGAAAATGCATAGTAATCAATTTTATGAATTTATATTGAATTGAATACCCTCTTTGAATCTACCAAAAGACATTTTTTAGCCAATTTACCTTCTTTTTATATCTGCAATGTGATTTTCATGTCTAAACTAGTCAATGTTTTTTCAATTGCCTGGGAATTTTAAAAGGAAATGAAAAAGATAGAAGAATGAATACTTAACAAATGCCTCTTTTCTCTGAACCATTCCAGAACATTATTTGAGAGGATGTCACTATTTCAAATCTTGAATCCCCGTAATTCATGGTGATGTCATCATGGTTTGATGAAGACTCATATATAGAGATATGGCTTGGAAGGTACTTTTCAATATAGATTATGTCATATTTTTAAACTCTTAATTTTATCTGTTTTGAATATATTTTGAAATCTTCAGTTGGTAAAGCATGTAGCCCCTTTAAGAAAAGCATCTGTGTAGTTAATGTATGTAGCACTTTGAGGAAATTAATGTGCGGACACTATTTCAGGACACAAGTAGAAAATGTAAGTTCACCTTATTTGAACACTTTCTCTGTGGCAAATGTTATTTTAAGCCCTATACATATATTAACAGAACAGCCCTATAATGTGAGTACTTCCATTATCCGTATTTTGCAAGTGAGGGAATGGCCCTAGATAAGAGGTGGTAGATCCCAGACACAATCTCAGGCATTTGGTTCCAGGGTCCTTGCTCTTCTTGCTGCAGTCCTGCAGATCCCTCATCAGTTCTTAGCTTAAAGGGGGTAAATAGACTATTTTCTATTATCCAGGTATAACAATTTGTGGATTGGAACTGTTTAGAGGCAAGAAGCCAAGCTTTGCAAATTCAATCCTGCTGAATAGTGACAGAAAATGTCCTAGAACTCATAACTAATTTACCTAGAAGTTTGCTTGTAGCAAAAGACCATGAAATCTCATCAGTGGGTTGCCCAAGGTATTCAGTTATGGCATTTTGAGTCAATGAGAATGTCATTTGCTACACATGAGATTTGTTACACATTATTTAAATATATGTGAGTGGTTAAAGGATTAGATATCACAAAATACCTTAGTCAAACTTCCCAGGCTCTTCTCCTTTGAAAAAAAACCATAGGTCAGAATCAGCATATTTGTTTTAATTAGACACAGATACTATTAAAAGCAAGATGTTGGGTCAATAATTTCCTGTTTCTTTATTCCACCAATTATGCATTAAAATGTTTATTGAGGGCCTGTTCTATTGAGTATAAAGTCCTGTTCTAATTGAGTATAAAGTCCTCAACAAAACCAAGATTTTCTCACATTCATTAGCATAGCAGGTAAATCTAAGTTAAATTTCATTAATGCACAAGCTTCAATTTGCAATGGCTTAACCTAGAAAAGATTTATTCTTTGCTCACATAAAATTTGATGTGAATCTTGGTGAACACCCTGACAGCTCTCCACCATATGATGCTCTGGAAGCCACACTATTTATGTCATAAATAAGGAGATGTCCCCATCTCAGTTGCTGCTTCTGTAATCACTGACCCAGGGCAAGGGAGGATGAGACAGTCGTACCCCAGCTATTAAGTGCTTTGGCCCCGAAATAATACATCACTTCTGTTTACAAAGCAATAATTAGAACTACTCATGAAAGTCTGTCTACATATATGAGGGTTAAGAAAGTATAAGCTTACCATGTACCTGAAAGGAGAAGACACCATTAGTTTCTTCCATATGTAGATTACTGTTTCTAGAGCACTAAACAGAGAGTAAGCAAAACATATATATTATGAAAGAGGGAGTTACTCCAATAACTCTATGATGCCTCCTATTTATGTATAAAAAAGCTCAAACTCAGACAATTGTCTAGTGGCAACTACATTAAAGAAAGCCTTTTGCCTACCATATGTTTTTAAGTTTGAACCAGGGTCTATCAACCTTGACACTACTGACAATTTGAGCTGGATAATGCTTGGTTGTAGAGGACTTTATAGTGCAATTGCATGACATTTAGCAATATCCTGGTCCCTGCCCACTAAATGCCAGTAGCCTGCATCCCTCCCCACTCCAGAGGTGTGATAACCATATATGCCTCCAGACATTGCCAGATGCCGCTGCCAAGGCAAAATTGCTGTGGGTTGAGAACCTCTGGTTTAAACTATTCCCTGTATCATTTTGAAGACCAAACCTTAAAATTGACACAGTACCTTATGCATGTATATATACTTTAGAATATATAAAGCACTTCACATGGCTTCATCTCAATTAATAAAATAATTAGAAAGGTATTATCATATTTAACATACGAGGAAATAAGTTGAAAAAAGTGAAATATTTTGTCCATATCACAAGGTTAGGAAAGACCAGGGAGTCCACTCTAAGACCTCTCCAGATTCATAAATATTCATGTGTTTATTGAGCACTTCCTATGTGACAGGCATGGGTCTATAATAGAGGGGACCCAGAAAAAGATCTGGTCCCTGCTCTCAGGGGACTCACAGTCAAGTGGGTAAAGGAGACAAACTAACATAAAACTACATTGAGGTAATTAAGCTAAGTACTCAGATAGAAAGGCTAACAGCTCTTCAGAGGGAGGAACTCCCCTCCCTCCCCCACCATCCCCAGAACTATGAGAAAATCAGCAGAAACACTACAATAGAAAAGAGAGAATGACAGGAAGCAAGAGAACAAAGAGAATGTTGGATTTTATTTGAGTTACCACAGAAGACATGAACTGAATCTTAGAGAACTACAGAGCAGATGGAGAGGAAAGAAACGTGAAATTCTGAGCTGTAAGAGGGAAGAATTTTGAAAAATGCTGCTAAGCCCTAACTATGCAGGCAGGAGTCTGAATAATTGCAAGAGACAGAAACACCCCTTATTTCAGGCGTGTTCTATACTGTGGATTCAAATGAATCCTATGGAATGCAAAGAAGAAATCCTACTACAGAAAAATTATTAAATTAGGAAAAAAAGCTCAAACTGTGTCTTCAAAGCAGAAAAAAAAAGTGAATGGGGAAGCAGAAGTCTAAAGAAGGGCATCTTTCATACAAATGACAAGCAAAATAATTTCTGAAAATGTAGCTTGCTGGAGCTCGCTGGGCAGTTCATTTACCCGAAGTTTGAACTGTGGTCACCTGGAACTAACTTGTTTTGCCTTTTGACTTCACTATGTTTTAATATTTAAATATCACAATTCTTTTTCAGTTTAAAGAAATGTAAAGATTCATTAGTGTAACTGATTCTCTATCAGTGTATGATTTAATAATTTGGTCAATTAAATGACTCCAAGCTACATCAAATGTGGAACATGGGCTTTGCTTTTTATACTCCCACTCATGATACGGGGATTGTTGCCAAGTAAAACATGTTTTAAAGTCCTTGTTTGGAAACCAGAGAGGGTACAGTGATTATCTTCTCACACAGGAGCATCCAGGTGCTCAGGGCTCTCTACTCTTCAATGGGAATTACTTCTCCCAGCCTTTACTCCTGTCATGTAGGTCCTTTGTCATCAACCTTCCCAACCGGCAAATAGTGACTCATTCCTTTCCCTGTCCCTGTATTACCTCACCACCTCGGGCTCACTCTACCCTCCAGGCATGGCCTGCCTGCCCCTAGTTTTAAATCCTACTTCTCTGTTGCCCTGATCAAACCCTTACTCTTCTGCATTCTGCTTTTTACACACAGGTCACTATTGGAAATTAGCATTCCTCGTGTTGGCTGAGGGCAATAATTCCTCACTCTGGCTCACCCCCACCCCTATTTCTCCACATGCCCCTGAAAGGAAAAATATACAGCTGGGATGGCAACATCTGCAAACTCAGTTTCGCAAATCATGCAAGGGTAAAATTGGAAAAATCCATCAGCACAAGCAGTAGTTTAAAGAGAGGTGGAGACTGTGGAAAGAACTATGGGGAGAAGTTTCTGGGTCTTTGTGACTTGGCGCAGGCAGCGGGCAGAGGTGTATACTGCAGGAGGGACACTCTCCTCTGCGTTGAATGCCCCAAAAGTTGCCCTGTGACTGCCTGGGAAGTCCCCAGGTGATAGGTTTGCCCCGCTTCCAGGGAAGGGAATCCCTGGGCTACGGGAAGGGAGGTGGGAAAGAAGCGGCTGCTGCTCACCAGTGTAAGCATTGGAAAACCGCACATCTACAAGAAGAAAAGTGTTAGACAAGGACAGGAGATGGCATCAGGACCTGCAAAAATACCCTGGGAAGGCAATGGGGGCTCAGTGAGCAGTGACGTCTCTGCATGACCAGGCCTGAGCATCTAAAAGATTTATGACAGTGTCCTGGTTAGTTGCAGAGCCTGGCCAGTAATCTCCGTTCCACCCTTTTGAGCTATACTATCTTGGAAAATTGACTTACACTCTTTAAGCTTCTGTCAGTCTCTCCCACCGAAGTGTTGTGAGCATCTCATGAAATAAAACATGCTGAGCAATTGCTCAAAGCTTGGCATAGGCCAGTGCTCAATAAGGGATGAGCTCCCCCTGTCTCTCAGAACAACAAGCGGCAGATGGCTGTGGGGTGGGGCAGGACAGGGAAGAGTGGATAAAGCACAGACTTTGAGTCAGATAAAGTGAGATTCAAATCTAGTTCGATTTAGACCTAGACTAGATTTAGACCTGTGCCTTTCAAATGTGTACGCTTGATTATGGTAGGTAACCTTTATGACTCTGAGTTTTCTCCCCTTTAAGAAACACTTAATAAAATATATCTCAGGTCTTATAAGGATTAAAGGAAGGATTAGACATACTGTCATAGCTCTTAACATAGTTCTTGGCATAGACTAAATCCAACAAATTCTAGCCAGTGTTATCAGGACTCCAGCGACTATGCAAGCTTTTTGTCCTTGGTTGAATTTTCTCAAGTTGATGATGTATGAAAAAACATAGTTCCACAAAAATATATTACATTCTTATTATGGGTGAGGAGGTGGGCTAGACAGTGAGGGGATTTAAAGAAGAATAAAAGATAATGCCTATCTTCAAAGCATTCACAGTCTGAGGGGTTGAGCAGACTGGTGGATATTAGCAGAAAAATAATCCAGTTGCAAAATGGGGGAAGGAGTTAATTTTTATTATAAAGATACACATGCTGAATCTTGAAGGATGAGTAGCATTTCAAAGGCAGAGAATTGGAGAAAATATGCCTTAGGGATTGGAATAGCTGTGCTGAAACTCTGGATATGAAAATGCTTGATGTGTTTGGGGAATAATTTGGGGTGTGTGTGTCTGTGTGTGTGGTGTGGGTTGCTATAAATAATTATATACTTGACTTTTGCTTTTGGTTTTTGCATTTTTAATGATGGATATTTCTTATTAAATAATATATTTCATACAACCCCTCACAGTGCCTTGCACAAGGTAAGCTTCAGTTAAATGAATTAAATTGAAGATGCTTTCGCATTAGATTTTAATTTCCCAAATATCTTAAGGTTTATTGCCTCTTTCACATCATAAGTTTATTTTGTGGAACCATGCAATAAATTTGCATAGGTGTCTCTCCTGACAGGGTTTCAGAAATAATAATAGAACAACTTTTAAATTTTTCAAGCAATTTACTTGGCTCTAAATAATTTTTCCTTCACATGAGCTTCTGTAAAAATATGTAACAATTTAGCCACCACCCAGCCTTGGGATTCTGGCTGCTAATTATGAGCTAATTATGAGCTTTCTTTCTGTCAAACAGTAGCAACAAAGGAAGGCCTCCTCTGCTCTTTGGGTGAAAGGACCTGGAGTTGGAGGTCTAGAGAAGAGGCCATTTCTCCAGCGAAGGAGGCAGCTAATCAAGAGATGTACACATGCTAAAGCAGGAATGAGCGAAAGACTGGCCAGAAACATCCTCATCAAATGAGCTCAGCTGGATTATTCGGTTCTGACGTACATACTGATGAAGAGGAGGAGACAGGAAGAAGAGCAAGGAGAAGAAAGGTCTGATGCTGCTGCTTGCTTTAGGTATTGTCCAGGAGGAGCACATTGAGAAGCAGGGGTATTGCAGGAGAAACCAATCCCAAATGCACCTGCAGACAGTTTGCTTCAGTAAGAATTTAAGTCATTAAAAAATGGGATTATGAGACTCAAAGGATCATTGCTTCAATGTTTACTTTGTATTATCCATGACATGTATTGTCAGCTGACCTTGAATTTTATCTAACTCTCTCTTAGGTCATCAGGTTTTTCCTCACTGCTGGACTAGTCTCTGGACTCCTCCACCTACCGTCTTATTTCTTTTTTCCCCCTCATTTACAGAAAAAAAGTATTTATGAAAGCTATCTAGATGGGGATCTCCCAGGGGCACCTCTCCTGCTCTAGGCTGTGAGGACTCCCATCCCTGCCCCTGGGTCAGCTGCTTCTCCCCTCACCACACCGGCCAGCGAATAAGGACACATTCTCTTCTCTTTCTGCCGGGACAGCACTCCCTCTTTCTCCTCCCTGTTTTCTTGCTCTTTCTCAGACTTCTTTTTTGTGATTCTCCATCATCCATGAGATCAAGATAGGGTGATGTTCCTCAGGAACCCAGTTCTCTTCTTTATGTACATTGTTCCCCCAGGTGAAATCACCCAGTCTCACATTTTTGTACGTATCGTCTGCATTTTGTTGACTCAAATGTTCACCTCTTGCCAGTGCTGTGCCTCCAGATGTTGCATCCACCCACCTGCTGACCATGGCTGGAACCAGGCTCCCACTTCCCATCCCACCAAAGTGGTCAGCATCTCAGCAAGTGTCATCTCCACTTCTCTGTTGTTCAGACCTCAAAATCTTGGAGCCATTGCTTCACTCAGTTCTTTCTCTCACTCCCCACATCGAATCCTCTAGCCATTACCTTCACTTAATGTTTTAAAAATATTTGCACAGTACCTGTAACATGTCTGGTGCTGTTCTGGAAGCTGCAGACACAGAAGATAATGAAGCAGACAAAAGGCCTGTCCTCAGATTCTGGCGACTTTAAAATAGATCCACAATGATGCCGCCCTTCACCTCCTGCACATCCCGAGCACTACCACTCTAGATGGTCTCCCCCATCTCCCTGGATTATTGTAGCAGCCTTGGGCTTCCACTCTTGTCCCCCAGAGTCTTCCCTGTCCTGGCCGGAGTGATCATTCTAAAACATAGATCATGGCTTTGCTCTTCCCATAACCCTCCAATGGCTCCTCACTTTCTCAGAGCAACATCCAAAGTCTTTAACTAAACCCGCAAGGCTATCTATGACCTGGCCCCAGCCATTGCTCCTCTGCCCCCACTGATGCCCTCCTTTCCTCTGACTTCAGCCTCCTTGCTCTTCCCCCTGACTCTTTAAATGGCCCACAATGCACGGCCGTATTTCTTGCTGCTTGGCATATCCCCACACTTTAGAACTCCCCTAAACCATCACCTTACTCAGAGGCCTTCCCTGATCCTTAATATGAAATAGCATTTGCACCTACATCACTCTCTACCCCCTCCCCTGTTTGCTACATGCACGTCTACATGTACCCCTTGGCAGTCTCTTCTATCTAGCATGTGTGTCTTTGAAAGCTGGGACTTTGTTTTGCCCACTGCTGTATCTCCTTTTGCCTAGAGCAGTGCCTGATAATATTATGTGCTCAAAATTTTATTGAATTTTCTTCAATACTGGAATTCTATAATTTGCTAATTTATAAGTATGTTGACCTAAAGTCCCTTTTTACCAAAGACCTGCATTTAATAATAGCAATGATGTGTTACTTTTTTTCCTTTTGAACAATGACCAAGTTCTGCTTTGTATTACTATTATTACTAGATTTTCAACTCTTACATATCTATATGGCTTTATTGTAAGGTGTTTGACTCTGTCCCTAGAGGGAAGTACGTTAAGGACAAGGACTGTCATTCCCCTTTGTAAACCCCTAATCCTAGAAGGTGCTTCATCCTTGGAAGTGCGGTGGGTGAGACCTTCCTTGAGTTCTTTTGGATCTTGAAGAAACAAAAATTGCAGGACATTAAAAAGAAAACCAAAGGCATGTATACCTTCCATTATTCTCCATTAAGCACAAGGTTAAACACTCCACAGCCAGTCTTTGCAATGTTCCCAGCCCCCTGCCGCTGGTGACATTCTTGAGTGCCCCTCCTCACCTCAGGATGGGTGGGGCTGCCATAGAAAAGCATAGCTGTTCTGTCCTCCAGTGTAGCCAAACCCCACAGGGAAACCCACTAGCAGTTCCAGCAGGGAGGGGGTGCTTTCTCCACTTCTCTTTACATTCCGCTGGATAGAATCTGGGCATCCATGGTAGCATACAATTATAATTTCCTACTGCCTTATTTGAGCTGCAAAGGGATAAGCTTTCCTTTCATATATATAGAAATATAAAACCAGCAGGCATGATTTCTCAACAAAAGATATTCACACAGCTTTGCAGATATTTTGCAGCCATCCCTTTTCCTTGTCTCTGCCGACTGCAGTTCAGCTCCCTGCGGGGACACGTTGTCAATGCCTGGTAACCTCCTGCTCTCCTCTGGGAAGGGAAACCAGTCCGAGGCCCACCAGGGGCTCAGGTCCCAGGTAGGCTGTTTCCCACAGCATTCCCTATTACGGCACTTGGTTAATACTGCTAGAATTAAATTAATCTTGTCACGTCCTGCTCTCTACTTCTCATCTTACCGCAGAACTGAGCTTACATGGCACACAGCTCAGGTGCTTAAAGATGTTTATTAAATAAATTGGGTGAGCCTCTTCTAAAGAGCTGCTGAAATCAATGACTGGATGGATTTACATTTCTTCCATCTGATTTTTTTTTTTTTTTTGCTTCATCTGCGTTATCACGATGGTCATAGATCCCGACTTCATTGTGATTTGCTTCTCTGCATAAGCAGTAAATACATAAATAAAGAAATAACCCATTTTTTTCCTCCCACAGATCCAGGTTCCCGAGAACCAATAGTGTGGATTTTTACTTCTCCCCTGGTGATCCACATTTTCTTGCCAGAACCTCTGGAGACAATTTGATACACTTTTGATCTTTTAATTTTGTTCTTGTCTCCCACAGCAGATAAAACTGTGTTTGAAGGCAGCCTCCAAATCTTAATGTGGTTGGGAGATTAGGTGAAACAAGATAACGCTTATCTCATGGGGAGTAATTTTAAGGTAAGCTAGGTCATTTTCTAATGGGAACAGTCCTCACTGGATTCACCATTACACAGTCTTTAATATCATTTGTTTGGTCAAGTGCTCTAGATGTGTCCAAGTTAACCCCTTTCTATTTACCAGAATTCATGAGAAGATCATCTTGGACTATATAGAAACTAGTCATTTCCCCAAAACTTAAAATTTTAACATAGTACTTTCTGAACTTGGTAGTACCCCTAATTCCACTGTTGAAATGAGGCTGTCTAGGTGACTACATTTGGATGAGGCTATTAGATTCTTGCAGTGACTTACTGCTCTGTGATGACCTTTGAAATACTTGATGCCTTAGAGCACAGCATCTCATTCATCCTTTTCTTACCAGTTATCTTTGACTTAAAAACCAGTCTTCAGTATTTGGGGAAATGTGGGTTTCTCCCTCTATAAATAGTAATAATAATAATAACAGTGTTGGACAAGTGATTCATGGAGTATCATTTTAAGTGGAAGACAGACAAGAGTTTCTACAATTATATCAATGTTAAATCTTAAGGCAATACGAAAGAGAATAATAAACCCTCGCAGGATGTTCTGGTACAGCTGCCACAATAATCAGGGTAGAATTGTGGTTACAAAGTTTAAGGGTCTTAACAACTGACTTATGGAGTTGGAGTGGGAAGCGCTTATTTTTCTGTTTTTAAAATCCAAAGACAACTCTGCCCTCAAAGCCAGCGTTGTGCACTTGGGTGGAAAAGGCTGCCTTTTCTGTACTTTTCAGAAATATTAAAATTAAACGAACTTCATGAAGATTATTTCAACTTGCAAAAGCATCCGACTTACATTAATGCCAAAAGTCATTTCCCATAGTATCGCCTGAGTGAGCTCACCTGGGAGAGTTCAGGGATTGACACGAAGGCACTGCCAGCCTGAAGCTCTAACACCTCAGGCCAATTGCCAAAACAATCCCATCCCTTTTGATTGGTTTGGGTTATGCCTAAGTAATGATGGTTACTGTTCTTTACTTAGGTCTTAATTTAGAATTACAAGGAGCATAAGGGAGCTGCTTCAGTCTTTAAACCATCCCAGTGCGATGAAGATCTGAAGGCTTGGTTTCAGGGCTCCGTGCTGGGAAGAACCTAGGCTGGGGTACATTTCAACTCTTCCTTTTTCCCAGACAGTGTGAAACGAGTCCCAGGACAAACTTTCTGGCTTGTGTTTTATGGCACTGACATCATCAAACTGTTTGAACTGGAGCTGAACCTTTCATGATTGACATGTTCTTCCTATTTACAGGAATAAATTATAGTTTAATCAACATGGTCTTATATCATTTTTCTGGATATGATGTTGTTGTTTTAAGAATCGCTTCACATTTTTCTTCCTTAACTTGACACCATCCAAAGGCAACCCTCAGAGACTCCCTTCAATATCTTTGAATGTTTCTGTAACTCATTCATTTTGTCCATAAGAACAGACAAAATGAGAGATGACTGCATAGGAAACTATTTCTTCTATCAGATCTTGCAGCCATTATTGGTCTCTCTTCCTCACTGATTCTTCTCTTTCAAGTCTCAGCTGCAAACATTCCCTCCCCTCCTACAGCTCTCTGCTCAGAGTTTTCCTCATTATTTGTCTGAGGAGTCATATTATTTTTAGTAGCTCAGCCAGGGGTTTTAGGAATATATCTTTAGCAAATGCTACAATTCAAATAAGGAAAACCTCAAGTATCTCAGCTCCCTGGCTTCTGGTGCTGCAGCAGAGATAGGTGAGGAAGAGGGCGCAATTCAAATCTCACCATCATTTATGACACATGACCGAGGGGGGCTTCTGTGTCTTCTGTTTAACTGGATCCTGAATGTCTCTCCTCATAAGAATGTTCTGGCCCAGGCCCCCACTTCTCTTTTCCTTACAGGAGGCTGACCTCTCCTCACACAAGGCATCTCCCAAAGAGAAAAATATTCAACACAGAGGGTTTTCCCCCACAGCTGTCTTCCAGATATGTCTGGAGGCGGCAGAAGCAATAGATGTGCCTTCTAAACAGCAGCTTGTCAGAAGGAATGTCATAGAGCTAGCAGAACCTTCTTTTTCTTGCTTTTTTCTTTTAAAATAGAAGCATTTTTCTCTGGCAGTCTATTATAAACTACTCCAGGGATTCCCCTCAAGTCGTCTATTTAAGAAATGGACAGTGAGTGGAGCAGGGAAGTGTGAGCTTGTTGGGGAGGGAGAAGCAAGGGGTTACTGTTTTGGTCTTTAGGGAAGGTAAGCACGTGATCTGCAGCTACAGCACCAGACTCCCAGCATTCGGCACACAGAGGTTATTGTGGGCTTGTTGGCACATTACTTCGAGCGCTAGTGTATGGTTTGATACCAACAGGGCAGTGTACAAAATCACCCTCTCCATGTTCCCTCTCCCTCTCTCTGTATAAACACACCCATGCACACATGCATGCACATAAACATTCTTTGTAAAGCAGGACTTTCTGTTCAGAAGCAGTAGTCTTTAATGGTGAATCCCTCAATTAAGGGCAAGATGCAGCCAAAATTCTTCAGCATGTTTTGCTGAGAGGAATCCCCTCTGTTTCACATTCATTTAATTATGCTCAAACTTTCTGCACAAACCAGTCTAGCTATGGTTTTGTGTCATGTCTACATGCAAATTTTAATGCAGAATGAGATTCTTCCTCTTCCTACCCCAGTTACATTGCTTAGACCATAGAAAGACAGACTATTCTACAACCTCAAGTCAGATTTGAATGGAAAATATAGAGTCAATATGCCATCTTAGCAACTGGTACTGGTTCTAAAATAAAAGGCAGGAAAGTGTTAGGTTGATCCTTTCATTTCAAATATTTCTGGTTAAAAAAATTTAAGAAAAAATCTTAGTTTTTCTACTTGCTATAAATGATCAAATGTAGCTTTTCAGGTTAGTGGATGAGCTGTAGAAAGTATGCATCTTTGAATATATGTTGACAATTACCTTCTTTTTTAATAACCTAAATAAGCTGTTTCTAGCACCCAGATGTGCCCCTTGCCATTTTCTAGGATAATTTTTCCTTTAATTATTAGATTAAATCATTGGTTTTTCCTCCTCCTTTCTTTCTTTCTCTATAGATCTCTTTGGAAAGCAACAATAGATGGTAGAATCTTACTTCCTGATAATTATTTAAATAAAAAATGGAAAAATGTGTTTCATAAAAAAGGATACTGGATAAACTCTCTTGTAATATGTTAAATGTTGAAGCCAATTACATCTAGACAATCATGTGGGTTTGGGAATTGATAAGCAATAATATTGGAAAATTGTTTATTTTTTTTTGAAATATAGAACAAAAGTTAGAGTATTGTAGTTCAAAATTAAAATATCTCAAATTGTGGGTGTATTTGCATGTGTATACATGCATGTGCATTTTCAAAAGATCTAGGCTATATACATATATATATTCAATTAAGTCTCTTTTTCACAGAAAGGTTAGCATGGCATACATACATTTTTAGGGGATACAATGATCATTTTGACCATTAATTCTTTTTTACTTATACCCACTAGTAATTCTATATCTTTTAAAGCCCTGTCATTAAGTTTTCATATCAATATTTGTCATTTTAAATTAAATATGAATAAATTCTTAAGAGACAAACATTTGTCAAGTGCTTTTTCTGTGCTAGGAACACTGCTTCTTAAATGAAAAATGATTTAAGGAATGGGGAATGCCTAGCCTCAGACAAGATTGATGCAGACCTTTATAACATTGTTCACATATTTGAAAAACTGACTGTGGATAAGAGATTCGCATTACACTATATAGCTCCAGAGGCAAAAATACTCATTTTTATTCAGCAGACATTTATGAGAAACTTCCATGTGCCAGTCACTGTCATTGATACTGTAGGTACCACAGTAAGACATTTCTCTCCTCTCGAGAAGCAAACTGCCTATTGAAACTCCAATAGGTCAAAGCTTCAGGGAAGACAATTCAATTCAACACCAAGACAAATTCCTTAATAATTAGAACTTGTCACAAACATAAGAGGGAGTTTTGTGAGCCTCGGTCACTCTTTAGCTATGCTACTCCAGAATGGGAGACGGCAGGGGCAGAGTCCAAGGCAACGGACTTAGTAGCCATTTGACACTTGATACGGATGAGTGAGCAGACATCATCAGGGTGCAGCCAGCTGACCGTGGCCAGTAGTGGGCAAGCAAGTGGGCACTGGGAGCTACGTAAGGGGAACCCTGGAAGCTGAGTCAGCAATAAAGCTAGCAGTTGGTCAGAGGAAGGACCTCAGCTGCTCAGGAAGTGCCTGAGAAAGGCCACCAGCAAACAGGACTACGTGTGTGGTCTGTAGGAGATGACTCTTTAGTATGAAATAAAAAGACCTGCAGAGTCCATGACAAAGGACCGAGCAACTATCCAGTGAATAGGGTCGCCATATTCAGCAAGCAAAGATACTGGTCACTCAGTTAAATTTGGATTTCAGATAATCAGCATATATTTTTAGGGTTAAATATGGCCCAAATATTGCTTGGAACATACTTAAAATGTTTTCATTGTTTATATGAAATTCAAAGTTAACTGGGCGAACTGTATTTTTCTCTGGCAACC